ATGGCACTCTGCATAACAGAGAATGATACAGCTGACAAGTAAAAACATCCCTAGGGAAAGAAAACAGTTTCCATATATTTTAGGCATGTGTGCCCTTGTCAACCCCACAGGACAGGGCAGGAACCTGCATAGATTTCACCTATCCACCTTATGTTCCTCAGCTCCTTTGGGTGCAACTCTTTAGCTTCAAAGCTTCCAAAAGCTGCTTATTTAGTACAGCAAGGTAGTTATTAAGGCTACTGACCTTCTTTCTAACTTTAGGAAACACAGCAGAGTACCCTTTCCGTGTTCTGTAACACAAAGCCAAGCACATTTCCGGAACATTTACAGCATATATGACTGATCTAAAAATAAAATAACCCCTTTTATGAAGGATTGGGTTATTTCAATTTCTCTTTCCTTCCTTACTTTGAGCAACTTCCCTCCTCATAAGTTTTGTACAATTCACTTCCATATCATCTTTAATAACCCTGTATAAGTCACAATCTTTACTCATCTACAGCACTCAGAATTCCCCATGCACTTTTTAAAACCTGGGAGAACAACCAGGATTTTAGCAGATGACTAACTGCTACTAGCTCTCTTTTGATTTGATTTAGACATTAAGAGGTGTAGATTACAGCTTCCTACAGGCTTTCAGAGAATCACAGAACAGCTGAGATTGGAAGAGACCTCTGGAAGTTCAACCCTTTGCTCAGGCAGGGTAAAAGCTCTCAGAAGACAGTCAACGACATGGTATCAAACACATCTGACACCATGTGCCTTCTCCGCAGGAACTAAATAACCCTTTTCAGGTAAACTAGGATTTCCCCATCCCTGAAACTAGGAGATAAATTGTGATGGAACTATTTTATTTTACTTGGATGGAAGTCAACTAAGAATTGCTTCCACATTTCACATTCACACCCCATCACTCCAGAACTGTGTCACAACAGTGATTTGAACATGTATTTGGAAGAATATGCTTTCAGTGTTTTTTAATCCTTCTTTCATCCTCCTTTTTTACCCTTCTTTGTTCAACTTACTACATTTACCTCTTGTTTTTTGAAGCACTACAGCTTCTGGCTCTAGCACAGGAGGGTAATAATACCTTTTGAAATGAGCAAAAATACAAACTGACTACTTAGTGTTGCCATCTGCTTGCCCTGACGAAAGAAAATATATTCTTGACATAATACAACAGCGCACATCAACCAAAGTCACAGGTACTTTAGGCAGGATTAAAATGTAATATGCAGTAACAACTATGGTCTAAGGCAGAAAAAACTTGGATTGTTCAACACCTTATTTCAAAACACGTTCTCTCACTTTGTGTTAGTGAGGCAGAGCTCATTTCTGTAAATCAGATATTGCTCTGTGCTATGTGTCCTGGCCATGCACAAGGACTGCCCTGCCTCAAACCTTCCCACCTCCTGCCCAAAGACTTCCCTACAGATGCCTGTTGATTGTGTGCACAACCATGCAGACAAAACTCCTGACATTTTATAAAGGACTGTATTAATTAAGCATTGTTGTTGAACGAACAAAGACTCTCAGCCATTTTTCTAGGGTACTAGAAGGATTCCCATTAGATGCAAAACAAACAGAACTTCTCTTTCCAGGAATAAAGTCTACACTTGCTTTCATCTCCCAAAATCCAACAAAAACTCCCGGCTTTGCAGCAGACCTGTACAGTCGGGATTCTCTATGTCTTTCATTAACAAGGCAATGAAAACAAAGAGAGAGAGCACAACCAATATCCACATAAAACACATAGCTCAGGACTAAAGAGCTGCGCAGTTCTATTACCATGGTGTCATGCTTTAGGCAGCCTATATTTTCAAGGGAAACTGAAGGAAATAGACAAACACTTAAACAGCTAACTCTGGTAGAAAATAAAAATTAATCTACTTTTTAATATTTGATATTGAAGGGCAAGTATAAAATTACACACGGAATGTTGTATTCTAAAGTAAAAAGCAGTGTTATGTCTGAGAGTAAAGCTGGAAGAAAGAAAACTATAAGAAAGTCATAATAGTCCCAGCCCCCACCTCCTCTCTGGATCTGCCTGCTCAAACAGAACAGGAGCCAACAACGAAATTCCTCCCATTCTAAGAAAACAGTAAAAACTGTCAAACTCATAATGTTTCCTAATCTACAGGGGCTGAGAATATAAATTATATTTGCCTTAGGCTGGTCCAACAGAGCATGCTTTTTTGATTGTCATATCCAGTTAAGAAAAGCAATATGCTTCATAAAATGGAGCTTCTATTTTTGACTAATAAACAGGATCTGGTGCAATTTTTAACTGGCTCAACCCATAACAGCAATATTTCATATCCTCAGTATGTCCATGCACTAGCTCTTTTTCTCTTAAAATGACAAGCAGTAAAACAGACTGCTAAATACAGCCAAACTCAAAAAAACCCCATTTATCAGTGACTCAACTTAGCTTGTTATGATACAGAATTTGATGTTGCCAGCTTTTATATCCCAGATAGATAAATAGCAAATAAGCCCTAAAGAGCTTGCCCTGTACTGGGACACATCACTGTCCAAGAGCTACAGACACAGGCTGGAGCTGAGGGAGGTTTATTGCAGATCTTGCTGGCTTGGTAAGGTTTGCTGAGCACTCACCTTCTGCTCACTGCAGAGATCTGCCACTACTGAACCTGAACTGCTGTGACTCCATGTCCCAGTTCAGGAGCACTGGGAAGGTGCCAAGAGACCAGTGAGCTTGGTATTGCATCACGCAGCCATGGCCCGTCTGGTGCTCAGCCTGCGGCTGGCACACACTACAGCACTTGAATTTTCCTTTCTGAAAATATTAAAAAGACATACAGCAAAATACCATTCAAAACTATTTCTAGTGCTTCTGCAGTTCAAGCTTTAGGTCAACACCAATGTTGGAACATTTACTCGAGAGCAGAAATTCAAGCTTGCTGTGCTGTAACCATGAGAAATAAAGAAAATAAAGAAAATCAAGAAAGAATGCAAAATCAAAGAACGCAAATCAAATCTCTTCCAGCACCTCAAGAACAAAACAGCTGGCAAAAAACTCAAATAATTTCAAGGAATTATGGATTCACTACTTGTTTGTTGTCCTTTCCTTCCTCTATATACTTCTCTTTCTCTGTGTGATTAGTCTTACATTGGAGAAGTTTTTAGCATGCTAACTGGAGAACATACTAATCCAATTATGGTGCTATAGGATTTTCTTAATATTCCTGAGAGTTATATTGGGTAGATGACTAAGTACTTGGGATTCCTTTTTTCCCCTTTTATTTATTTGAGAAAGCACGGAAGTGGCATTTTGACTGTGACATTTATTTTGCTTTATTCTTCCAGTAAAGAGCCACAACAAAGGTTACGATTTCAATGAGTATTTGAAGAGACAAATACTAAGTTTTGCTTTCAATTATTAATTTATAGTTGTAAGAGTATATATGGCTGTCCAGCAAGTAATTCTGTCTTTGTTTTAAGTCATAAAAGTCTAATATCATTCGTGCTGCAACATTTCAGAAGTCACCCCATGTTATTGCTAGTTTCATCTCCTTTCCCTTCTGTGACCACTTCAGCATATCATATTTTTAAGGTATCTTTAAATTACCCACCAAATCATGAAAGTTTTTCTTACTTACTTCACCGCAGGGTCAGCATTTCACTCTACAACCACTTCATACTTATTCAGTTGTCGATGTAAAACAGCCTTATAGTAGATCATGTAAGTTCTCAGCGCTATGGTACTATCAGAAAGTGCCCTTCCATGCACATCTTTTCTGAGGGAGACCCATTTGGCACAGCAAATTCTGCAGCCCACCCCTTTCTCTTCCATGTTGTGAAGCAGCTGGTCCCTAACTCCCAATGTGCTTATTGGTGGATTAGATAAAGGTCTTCAGGTTTCCTTTCTCATCCAATTCTCCAGGTGTGATTCAGCACTGCTTTGAAAAGGAAAGCTTCCAAACCAAAGCTCAAAGGATAGGAAGCTGAAAGCCTAGGACGCAAGAGGCATTGGAAGGCCTATAAAAAATTCCAGTTCTTCATTAATGCAAACCAGCTACACCTGGCACACAGAGTCACAGGGTGGAAGACTGTGGTAGCTGATCTATTAAATACCTGAGAACAACCATCGAGTGCAAATTCATTACGAACCTCTCCGCGTGCACAACATAACCTGTGTATTTGGGAAGCAGGCAATGCTGAGCTCAAACTGTATTTTAAGACATCACGTGAAAAGACTGGGGAATTCTGCCCCTCATTCCGATAATTATCACTCCCCACAAACATGGGGCATATCTGTCATTCACAAAACAATATTTCTGGTCCCATTTTGAGACAGTCAAGTGCTGCTCTGTTCAGATTTGCAAGGTCTACATAACTTCAGCAGCTAAGTCCCATTACGAAAAGCTACTTAGGAACAACTCTGAAATACATCTGATTCCATAACACGCTTTTGAAAGTCAGGCAAGGTAGGTAATTCCCTCTATTAATATGGACTCTGATCACATTTGAAACCAGGGCATTACGCCTGGTAGTTTTAATAAACGGTAGGATATAGATACCCTTTTTTCACAGCACTGGGGCTTCTTCTCTGAAGACTGAAGCCACTAAGAGTCAACAATAACACTTAGAGAACGAAATTACAAATTCCTATTACAACAGGATTTACAATAATTCCTATTACAAATGGAAGGCAACCAAGAACTTTACAGTTCTTCCAGATGAAAAGGGCACCTACTGCTTAACTACCATTGGAGTGAAGACCAGCGCATGCAGATGGCAGCGCTCAAGGTGATGGGAGAAGTGGATGGTCCACACGGGGAAAACGAGGTCCTACCGCCTCTCACAATAGCGGCCAACTCCGGCTACTTGCCCTCACGGGTTCTGTGGCCGCCAGTTTTCACAAAGCGACCTCTCCGCTTTGATCCGGGTACGGACTGGCAAGCTCGCCCCAGGCTGTGCCCACAGCCCATCACCAGCTCCCATAGCCAGATCCGGCCGGACTTTGGCACCCTCCTCACCTTCCACCAGCTCGTCGAGGCTGGTGAGTTTCTTGCTGCCATCGATAGTGTAGATGGTGCGGACCCCCTGGGGCAGGTTCACGTTGTCCGACAGGGACCGGGTGAGCTCCACCAGGAGGGCGTCGAAGGAGCGGAAGCGGTCGGGGGAGATGGCGTACACCAAGCCCTTGAAGTACCTGTCCCCGTTGCGGTAGAAGCGGGCTTTGCGCGCCTTCTTCTCGGAGCTGAGCGCCTGCAAGGTGCGGGTGCGATAGAGGCTGCAGTGCGCGCTGTGCGCCGGGCTGGGCACCAGCCCATTGCCCCGCGGCCCCGCGCCGCCGCCGGACCCGGAGCCTCCGCGCCGCGGCCCGGAGCGCTGCTGCCGCTTGTCCCGCTCCTCGAAGTGCTCCAGCTCGATGCTCCGGCTGCTCGCCATGGGGAGCCGTCCGCCCGCGCTCCCAGCTCCGCTACGGGCTGCTACGCCTGGCCGCCTCGCTCGCAAGGGCTCGGGCCGCCTAAAAGAGCATCGCGCCCGGCCGCTGTCGCCGGGAGGGCTGCGGCTGAGCGCGGCGCCCGACCTGCCCCGCCACCGCAGCCGCGGCCCTGCCGGAGCCGCCGCTACCCGCTGCTGCACAAAAGCATCCCTCACGGCCGAGCGCGGCGCCCCCCGGCTACGGGCGATGCCAGGGGCCGAGCGAGAGGCTCGCAGGAGCCCCGCGGCCGCGCCCCCGCGCCGTGCCCATGCGGGCTCACACAATGCGCGGGTCCCCTGCTCAGCCCCTGCCCTGCTGGCTCTGCCGGGCAGCGGCGCTGGGGCCGGAGCGCCTAATCCAGCAGCTCCGGCTCTGCTCCCGCAGCGGGGGCAGCAGCAGCACCGCCGCTCGGCGCGGGGAGCGGCGCAGCCTCGGCTCCCCGGCGGGGGAAGCAGCCGCAGCGGATCCGGCGGGAGCGGCGCTGGCGGCCCCACCGTGGAGCGCAGCGGAGCCGGAGCGGGCGGGGCTCCTGCCGGGCCGGGCGGGCGCGGGGGCGGCGCCTGCTCGGATCGCGTCCGGTGCGGGGGTGGCCGTGGGCAGGGTGGGAGCGGCGGCTGGCGGGGAGAGGAGAGGGAAAGGGGTTCGTCTAGGAAGGGAGAATTTGGAGGCGCAGTTTTCCCATTGGGTATTGCTGCCCTTCTGGTGGTCGTCCAAGGGCCACCCGCCCCTCAGGCGCACCAGCGGAGCTGCCCGCCAGCTCTCTCCCGGCTTTACGTGGCTCAGTCACGGCGTTAAAATGCTAAAAAAAGCTCCTTCTGTACGGCCCTCAGCCCAAAATACGTTCGTTAAAATGCTAAAAATGCTCCTTCTGTGCGGCCCTCAGCCCAAAATACGTCCCGCGGGACAGAAAACTGCGCATCCCTGTCATTTGTTGGCAGAACTGCTTTAAAGGGCACGTAGTGATGGGACATGGGGTGGATTCAAAGTGAGAGTAGGCGTTGGACAGGCAGATTGGATATTGGGACAAAATTCTTCCCTATGAGGATGGTGAGGCACAGGTTGCCCGGAGAAGCTGTGCCTGCCCCATCCCTGGAAGTGTTCCAGGCCTGACAGAACGGGGCTTTGAGCAAGCTGGTGCAGTGAAAGGCATCCTTTCCCATGGCAGAGGGGTTGGAGCTAGATCATCTTTGAGGTCCCTTCCAACCCAAACCATTCTGTGATTCTGTGATTTTCCTTTTGCGTTTGTCACCACCTCTGCCTACAGAGTCCAATAAACCCATTCTCACAGCCTAAACCTCCTAAATGTGCTCCAGCCCATGTTCCATGGTTTTCCCAGGCACCTTCTCAGTGTTCTTGAGGTTGCTGAAGTCAAATTCACTTTTCATAGACATGCCAACAAATGCGCTGAAATGGATGCAATTTCAACTTTTTTTCCAAGTTATTCTCAACCATTACAGAATGTTGTTGTGGTATTCACATACTCTTTGAACAGAGAGAGACATAATTCTCTCTCCCAGCATTTTTCTTGGAGAAGGCAGTGAAAACAGCAGCTTTTTCCACTTTATTTATTTATTTTTTTTTTTAAGAAAGCTATATTATATTGTACTACGTACTATACTAAACTCTACTACTCTAAAGAAAAACCCATGACCCTTTCCAGACCATCATGACACAGCTTTGACCCAAGTGGTCAATCAGTCCAAACAACCATCAGCAGAGTCTAATTAACAAATCCCTTTTGGTAAACAATCTCCATAATACATTCCACATGTGCCAAACAACAGGAGCAGCAAGTTCTCTTCTCTCTCTGAGCTTTCTCACTGCCTTCTCCAGGAAAAATCCTGGGAGAGACAATTATGTCTCTCTCTGTTCAAAGAGTATGTGAACACCACAGAACATATTTTCTTTTCTTGGCACAATGAGAATCTAAACAAAATGTAAAAGCTTTTATAACTACATACATGTTTTCATTTTTTTTTTACATCTCTTGCATTGGGAAGTTGCAGTGGTGTTATGTCATTACAGGTGTGCTCTTCTGTCCAATAGTCTTTGCCACACTGTTGAAGGATTTATTATTTTTCTTTTTTTATGTTTTGAAATACCAATAAAATTGATCACTTTCTCAGCATTATTACTGGGTTTCTTACAAAGCAGATTAGACATCTAGCTACAATACTTTAAAGATGATACACAGAAAACATTAGTGAAACTCACTCTTTATTGAAGTGTCAACTTCTGTGATGCCTGAAAACCTCCACAAGCAAAAAGAAGAGATAAACCATGGAGCTGGATTATCTCCTCTGGTGGTAAAATCGACAAAAGGAACTGAATGAGAGGCAATTTTCTTACAGTCGGGGCATGAATACACTTGCTAAGATTAGACATGCAGGTCTTGCCTAGGAACAGTATGGATCAACTTTTCAGACTGGCTTTGATATGTAGTTTCTAGTCCTGATTACAGGCAAAGTTACAAGGACAAAATTCAAAGTCACGTGTGTAACTTTGCTCCAAAGTGGATGGGTCTCAGCTGCAAAGTTATAATTTTTTCCAAATGGTACCACGCTGCATGGGCATGTCTGGCCTTTGCAGTACAAGTCACATTTTTTAGTTCAAACCTCCAGTGGATGGTTATTTGGACTAACCTTTTTCCATTTGCTCAGAAGCAGGTCACAAAAGCCCAGGGAAGTTTAATCCCCCCCTTGTACTCACCTTTTGTCTCTCTAGCTGCTAACTATTGCCGCAGCACAGTGCTCAACTGTGTGCAGAGGCCTCATGCAGACTAATATGCAAATGCATATATAGATATATATGAATTTAATGTATTGGCTGTGTCTGTGTCTGAATATAGGCTGGAGAATCCAGTGCCAGGGTTAGCATTTGCCAGTCTCAAGTTGTTTTGCTGGGTGGTAGGATATGTCATGTGTGAGACTTGCTCTGTGTTCTGAAATCTCTAGCTAGAGATGGGATGGAGGGAAAGGAATTTTATGCAACCTCCTGTAAAGTAAAGCCAAAAGGGAATTCTCCAGCTTTCACTAGAAAAATTCTCTCTCTTTCTCAAAGGGAATTCCTGCTACAGAGAATTTTGAAGTCAGTAGAGCAACTGTGTTTTATAGAGTATATAAACATGAAATTGACTTCTGCTCTGTAAAACTAAACTGTTTCTATATTAAGAGGTTATTTATAGAGAGGTTGGGATTAGATCTGCATGTGCCAAGGAAAGTTCCGGTGACACCTCAAGCATAGTCCTACAACTTGTGCTCTTTTTTTATTTCTTTTGTTCTCCTCAGATGTTATGTGTGTTTTTAATAAGCTCTGTAAACACCTTTTGAGAATGGTTCACAGTGCTTCCACTGGTGTGTATGCTTTGCCTTTGCCTTGCCACCTTGTTTCCCCTACAGAGTTATCTGTAGCCAAACAGATGTTTTAAAAGACTTTCCAATATGAGGAATATAACCCCAAAATAACCCCATATGCATCCAAAGGACACTTGTTGCTAAGATTTAAAAAAATAATGTGATTAATGTGCAGTCCTGTATGGAACTGACCTATGAATTCTCATTGTCTTCTTCCAAAACAAGGTTGACATATTAGCAGTTCACCTTACAGCAAGCAAGGTTACATGTATAAATGATACCTTGCTTATTAACCTGAATCTCCAGACACTGTTAAAATGTGATTATCATTCATTCTTGTGATATTTTTATTCTGTAAATATACATTTCCTGTTTGAATAGAAAAGAGCTTGCTGTTTTCATGTGCAGCTAACTAATCAGTTCTCTCACCTGACTTTGCTTTGGTTTTTTCCTTTCACTTTTATTGTGGTAGACATAATGAATTCTTGGTTGAAACCTCTTTTTGCATCTGTAAGAGCTCCTATGTGGTTTTGTTGCTTGGTTGGTTGTTTTAAAACAAGCAAGACCTCTGAGAAATTTCTAAAAGGAAAGAAAAGTTTACCATCACATGCAATGTCTTTTTTCCTTCTCTTACCTGAACTCCTTACCTTCCTGGTTGTAATCAATGACATTCGAGTTATTCAGAACATTTAAGAGGATTGATAGGTGAGATTCATTTCACAATTAGAGTTTACAGTGGGTGGTTTTAGACGACAAGTGTGTATCTTGCCTTTACATTTAGCCCATTGATTTCACCTTGAAAATAATGCATAATGTTGCTAAAGAAGAAAAAATAACACCATAAACTTGGGGTCTGTTGATTGAAGATTTTATTTACAGAAAATATTTTTTGAGTGATTCAATAAGGAAATGTTTACTTGCAGCACCAAGGATACCAAATTTGAATATTTTAGCAATTAGATGATTATTTGCAATGATTTGTTCTCAATCCAAGAATGTTAAATTGCTTTTAAAATATTCATAGAATAAAATCTCTCAGGCATCCCTGTGAGATTCTGTGCCCTACTTCATAGATGCATAAAATGGGAAACCAAAAGTTTAAGCAACTTGACCAAGTACCAGAGAAATATATCAATGTAGGTGGAATAAGGGACATCTTCAGTCCTTAGTGAGCCAGCTGTGCCCAGGTGGCCAAGAAGGGCACTGGTAGCCTGGCCTGGATCAGCAATAAATAATGTGGCTGGCAGGACCAGGACAGGGATTGTTCCCCTCTACTGGGCACTGGTGAAGCCACACCCCAAATCCTGTGTCCAGTTCTGGGCCCCTCACGACAGGAAAGATGTTGAGGTGCTGGACCGTGTCCAGAGAAGGGAAATGGAAGCTGGGAAAGGTCTGGAGCACAAGTCCTGTGAGCGGCAGCTGAGGGAGCTGGGGGTGTTTAGCCTGGAGAAAAGGAGGCTCAGGGGAGACCTCTCTATCCCCCTGGAAGGGAGTTATAGCGAGTGAGGGTCAGTCCCTCCTCCCAAGTAACCAGGGACAGGACAAAAGGAAATGGTCTCAAGTTGCACCAGGAAAGATTTAGACTGGATATTAGGAAAAAAAGTTATTCACTGAATAATTGCTGTCCAGGGGAATGGTGGAATCATCATCCCTGGAGGTACTTAAAAGGTGTGTAAATGTGGCACTTGGGGACATAGTTTAATGATGGACTTGGCAGTGCTGGGTTAGCATTGGACAGGATGATCTTAAGGGTCATTTCCAATCTAAACAATTCTATGATTTCATAATCTCATTGTGAAGCTGTTCTTACATTAACACTTCTTGATGAATGGGAATGTGAGTCTGAGTATTGTTGAATATTGAAATATTTCTATACAACTTAATGTATCGTAGGGAGATGTCTGAGTCCAGGGTCTGTGATAAGTCTGTGTGTGCATTTATCAGGCCTCAGAATTATTCACCAGTTTTTACTGATTAGGTAAAAATGTGATATAGAAGTTCAGTTACTTTTAAAATGACTTTGTACACTTCCCAAACTATACCTTTGTCTTTAAATTTGTCTTTAAGAACATTTCTGTTCATCTATTTAAGATTTTTGAAAGCAGTGAAAAACCATATG